TAGAGATGGGGTACAGGAGGACGGGGACATGGGGTACAGGGATGTGGAGGTACAGAGATGGGGGTACAGGGGGATGGGGGCTATAGGGATGGGGGGATATGGGAATAAGGGGACCTGGGGGTACAGGGGAGTGGGGGTACAGAGATGGGTACAGGGGGATGGGGACATGGGGGTACAGTAATGGGGATACGGGGATGTGGGAATAAGGGGAGGTGGGACATGGAGGTACAGAGATATGGGATTTTAGGGATGTGGGGACATGGGGATACTGGGATATGGGGGGACATGGGAATACTGGGACATAGGGATGTGGTCACAGGGGCATGGGGTCGATGGGGTGAGGATGAGGATGGGGAATACAAGGATGGTTACAGGAATGGGGACAGGGACACAGGGACAAGGATGGGGACACGGTGTTGGGAACAGGGCCAGGGACTTGGAAATAGGGCTGGGGGTGTGGGGATGATGGGGAAGGGCAGCCATAGGGTTGAGGAAATGGGGGAATGGAGGACGGGGATATGGGGTCAGGGTTGTGGGGATGGCGGGGATGGAACAGGGGGTGGGGACATAGATGGGGTGGGGGACAAGATGACAAGGGATGGAACGGGGACGTGGGGACAGGAATGGAGGTGGCCGTGAGCCCCACTGATGGCACCGTGACCCCCATCCCCAGCAACCCCCAAGAGCTCCAAGTCCCCCCCAGCCAAGGGGGGTGAGAGCAGCGCAGACCCCCGCATGGCCGCCACGGGGCTGACCGAGAGCCAGCTGCAGCTGTCAGTGGAGGTGAGTCTGGGGGAAATGACCCCCAAAACCCCTCATTCTCTGCATCACCTCACTATTTCTGTTATCTGTAGGGTCAGTTTTGGGGTACGTCACCCCCAAATCTCCCCATTCTCTACATCAGCCACGTTCCTTTGCTGTCCCCCAGCTGCCCGTGGGAGTCAGTTTTGGGGGAAAGCCCCCCAAAATCTCCCATCCCATACATCGCCCCCATTCCCTCACTGTTTCTCAGTTGGCTGTAAGGGTCAGTTTGGGGAAAAATTACCCCAAACCCCCCATCCCATACATCACCCACGTCCCCTCACTATCCCCCAGTTGTCTGTGGTGACGAATTTTGGGGGCTATCACTCCAAAACCCCCCCATCCCATACATCACCCCCGTCCCCTCGCTATCCTCCAGCTGTCCATTGGGGTCGGTTGTGGGGGGAAAAACCACCCCAAATCCCCCCATCCTCTACACCCCCCATCCCCTCGCTGTCCGTGGAGGCGCGTTGAGGGATAAAACCACCCCAAACCCCCCCCTCCATCCCCCGTCTCCCCCTCCCTGCCCCCCCAGGTGCTGACATCCCACTCGTGCTCAGAGGAAGGACTGGAGGACGCCGCCAACGTCCTCCTGCAGCTCTCCAGGGGTGACCCCGGCACCCGCGACACCGTCCTGCGGCTGCTGCTCAGCGGCGCCCGGCAGCTGGGGGCCACCCTGTGCCGCCAGATCGGTGGGTCACCCCCCCCCCAAAAACCCAAACCTCACCTCCGACCCCCCGACCCCCTCCTGTCGGCCCTGACGTCACCCCCACCCCCCCGCAGGCACGCTGCTGGCCGAGCTCCGCGAGTACAACCTGGAGCAGCAGCGCAGGGCGCAGAGCGAAGCGCCGTCCCCAGAGGGGGTCCCCGACGAGCAGCCCCCCAGCGCCAAGCTCAAGGGCAAGATGCAGAGCCGGTGAGCGGCCCCGAGGGTCCACGTGTGGTCCCTGCTCACACACCCCACTCTTTTCTCTCCCAGCAACTCTGGTCCCGCTCGGTTCCCCCCTGACCCCACTCTTTTCCATCCCATTACCTCTGGTCCCTAATGACCCCGCTGTTTTCCTTTCCCAATAACTCTGGTCCTTACTAACCCCACTCTTTCCCATCCTGACCCCACTCTTTTCCCTCCCAATAACTCTGGTCCCTGCTCACCCCACTCTTTTCCTTTCCCAATAACTCTGGTCCCTGCTGACCCCACTCTTTTCCTTTCCCAATAACTCTGGTCCCTGCTGACCCCCCTCTTTTCTCTCCCAATAACTCTGATCCCTACTGACCCCACTCTTATCTCTCCCAATAACTCTGGTCCCTAATGACCCCACTGTTTTCTCTCCCAATAACTCCAACACTGGTCTTTTCCTTTCCCAATAACTCTGATCCCTACTGACCCCACTCTTTTCCCACCTGACCCCCTCTTTTCCCTCCCATTAACTCTGATCCCTACTGACCCCACTCTTTTCCCTCCTGACCCCACACTTTTCCCTCCCAATAACTCTGATCCCTTCTGACCCCCCTCTTTTCCTCCCCAATAACTCTGGTCCCTTCTGACCCCACTCTTTTCCCACCTGACCCCCTCTTTTCCCTCCTGTTAACTCTGATCCCTTCTGACCCCCCTCTTTTCCCTCCTGTTAACTCTGGTCCCTTCTGACCCCTTCTTTTCCCTCCTGACCCCACACTTCTCCCTCCCAACACCTCCAACCCGTCTCCTTTCCCCCCGATGCCCCCTGCTGACCCACCTCCCCGTCCCCCCCCCCAGCTTCGACACGGCCGAGAGCGTTGTGATCGTGGCATCCCAGAAGCGTGCCCTGGGCGGACGGGAGCTGCAGCTGCCCTCCATGTCGGTGCTGACCTCCAAGACCTCCACGCAGCGCTTCTTCCTGCGGGTGCTGCAGGTCATCATCCAGCTCCGCGACGACACGCGCCGGGCACACAAGAAGGCCAAGCAAGCCGGGCGTCTGGGTAAGGCCCCGGGGGAGGTCGGGGGTCTCGGGGACCCCCCCCCATCCCCCCCCATGCCTTGGAGGCGTGTTGGGGTTTTTGGGGTGCTGACGGCTGTCCGCAGGTGCCGGGGGCCTCGGGGCGGCTGGCAGCATCCAGGCGGCCGTCCGGCAGCTGGAGGCCGAGGCCGACGCCATCATACAAATGGTACGTGAGGGCCAGAGGGCCCGGAGGCAGCAGCAGGCGGACACGGTTAGCACGGCCCTTCGGCCTCACCTCCTCCTCCTCCTCCTCCTCCTCCTTCTCCTCCTCCTCGCCGCCTTCTTCCTCCTCTCCCTTCAGTGCCGCCTGTCGTCCCCGTGCTGTTTGCGCTGTGGTTTCTCCCCTCTCCACCCTCCTTCCTCCTCCCCTTCATCCTCTTCCTCCTCCCCTTCATCCTCTTCCTCCTCCCCTTCATCCTCTTCCTCCTCCCCTTCATCCTCTTCTTCCTCCCCTTCATCCTCTTCCTCCTCCCTTTCATCCTCTTCCTCCTCCCTTTCATCCTCTTCCTCCTCTCCTTCATGCTCCTTAATTCCCGCCACCCTCCTTCCTCCTCTCCTTCATCCTCCTTAATTCCCTCCATTGTCTTCCTCCTCTTCATCCTTCTTAATTCCATCCACCCTCCTTCCTCCTCCCTTTCATCCTCTTCCTCCCCTTCATCCTCTTCCTCCTCCCCTTCATCTTCATCTGCCTCCCATTCATCCTCCTTAATACCCTCCACCTTACTTCCTCCTCTCCTTCATCCTTCTTAACGCCCTCCATCATCTTCCTCCTCCTTTTCATCCTTTTTAATTCCCCTCCATCCTCTTCCTCCTCCTCTTCATCCTTAATTCCCCTTCATTCTCCTTCGTCTTCTCCTTCATCCTTTTCCTCCTCCTCTCCTTCATCCTTCTTAACGCCCTCCATCGTCTTCCTCCTCCCCTTCATCCTTCTTAATTCCCTCCATCATCTTCTTCCTCCTCTTCATCATCTTTCTTCTCCCCTTCATCTTCTTTCTCCTTCCCTTCACCTTCCTCAATTCTCCTCTTCCTCTTCTCTCCTTCATCCTCCTTAATTCCCCCGCATCATCTTCCTCTTCCCCTTCATCCTTAATTCCTTTTCATCTTCCTCATGCCCTTCATCCTCTTCCTCCTCCCTCTCATCCTTCTTAATTCCCCCTCATTCTGCTTCCTCCTCTCCTTCATCCTTAATTCCCTCTTCCTTCTCTTCTTCCTGTTTATTTTCTTTATTCTTCCTCCTCTTCCTGTTTATTGTTTTCCCCTTCCTCTTCATCCTCCTTTTTCCTTCTCTTCCTCCTCCTCCTCTTCATCCTCTTTCTCATTTTCCCCTTTCTCCTCTTCTTTCTCCCTCACTTCATCTTCATCCTCTTCTTCCCTCTCCTCTTCCTCCTTCCTTTTCTTGCTTTTCCTCCTCCTGTTTATCATGCTCCTCTTCTTCCTCTTCATCTTCCTCCTTCTCCTCATCCTCATCTTTGTATCTTTCTCTTCCGCTTCCCTTCATCCTCATCTTCCTTCTCTTCTTCGCCATTGTTTTCCTTACTCCTCCTCCTCTTCATCCCCCTCTTTTCTTTCATCCTCTGTAGTTTTCCTCCTCTTCATCTTCCCCCTCCTCTTCTTCCTCCTCCTGTCTCCTCCTGCATTGCTTCCTCTCTTCCTCCTCTTCTTCCCCCATTCACCCCACAGCCTTCTTCCCTCCCCTCTCCTCTCCTCTCCTCTCCTCTCCTCTCCTCTCCTCTCCTCTCCTCTCCTCTCCTCTCCTCTCCTCTCCTCTTTCTGCTCATCATCTTCCTCATTCCTCTTCATTCTCCTTTCCTCATCCTTTCCTTTCCTTCCTCTTCCTCTCTCCTTTCTCTTCATCCTCCTCTTCCTGCACATTATATTTCCCCTTCCCCTTTTCCCCT